TTTTATTACATAAGTGAGGTGTACTGATTTTTTTAAATTCATTACTTTAGATAATAATTTAATCATTAAAAATCAAAATAAAAAATGCTGGCCGTGAAGTTATTCGGATATCTGGCAGCTTGCCTATTGTCACGTCATGGTAAAATAGTGAAAAAAATTGGAAGTCTTGCGATTAATTAGATTAATCTGTATCAATTATATTGTTTGTTTAAAGGTTTCATTAATGCCCTTTTTGTAGGGTGCATTAACAGCGTAATTCGAGAGGTTGCGGTATATAGAAAACAATGGGAAAAATTAATAGATTTTAGAAACGAGCACATTCTTCAGGTAACGAGATGTCGACAGACCAGATAAGTGATAGACTTGTTGTTTTAAAGATTTTAATGATTATCCTTCATTGTGAATTTTAACGAGTTTCTAAATCATGTACACTTTGATTTAGAAACTCGTTAAAATGCAGACGAGGGCTATGAATAACTAAATTAAATTTTTGTCAGACGAATAGTCACTATTGCTTGCTTATCGCCTGTAATTGGTTGTGGATTATGACTATTTGATATTTAATAGAATATTGAACCTAACTGTGAAAGTTGCAGATATAGGCCTTTGCTTTTACTTTTTCTGTGGATACTAAGATGGTCTTTTACCCTACCCATCGTGGGTATGGCCAGGCCAGCAATGGTGGCACCAGGTGGTGCCACCATTGCGGGCCCAACATAGCGGGACCAACATATCGGGGCCCAACATAACGGGATAGACCACCCACGAAAAGTTCCTGGAGTTTATCCTTCGGATTCTATCACAGGATCCCAGAGCGGTAGCCATCTCAGACATCCGGTCTGTAAGTGCAGGCAATTGGAACTTGATTAGAGATGCTGTGGATTTCTGAGATTAGAAAGCTAGACTACTCGTTTCCTAACACTTAATATTTGGTAAAACTTGGTCAATGCGTCTTTCAGGTTAAAATATCAGTTGATATATTAATGTATTCTCTAAAATCCAATATCTTACTGAATATTTTTTTAAGATTAGGTTTACTACATCTTCTATTTAATCTTTAAACAGCTCTTTAAATGGTTTTGTTTATTTGTTCGGATTTATGAACAATAGACTAAAAAACACTAATTCGTTGAAGTAATTTTTCGTAAAATTTGGTAAGAAATAGCAGCTGTATAAAATTACAAACAGGTAATGACATTAATTTAGGAAGTTTACATATAGTTGAGCTTGTAAATTTATAAAATTTCTCTTGCATTAAATGTGTGATATGTATAATATTTCAATAAAAGATTTACGAACATAACTACAGTTGAATATATATAAAGTTAAAATAATGTTAAGAGTAATACATATTTATTTTTAATTAATTATGCTATCTTTATATAACTAAGTAAAGACTCCAACGAGTGAGGTTTGTTTTTTTGGGCTGCTTAAAAATTGCAGCCCGACATTATGACGATATCACAATAAGTAATTGCTCGTTAATATTGTAAGCTTTAGTGAAATTAGAAATATTTTATTTATTCAAATATATACAAACACTGTTTATTAATTTATTTATGAATAAATTAAATGTTTCTAATTTCACTAAGACTTACGAATCTAAAAAAAATAATAGTTGGTTAAAGAAATGATTTACCTTTTATCTAATTTACAGAATTTTTCGATTTATGTAAGTAATCATAAAATAAAGATCTATATTTTAATCAATAAAGTACAGAGTTCTTCAATATACTTATGTAAAGAAGGTGCGCAGTCACTGTGCAGAGATAATAGGGCCCGTACTTTTTTGAAAACTCTACAATTGGGTCGTGACTTCTTGTACATGATGAAGAACTACTAAGAGGACAAGCTGCCACTACAAATCCGGCATAACAAGTTACTTCCATACTTGTATTAACATTTTTTTAGAGTATCCTCTATAAAATCATATAATAAAATGTAAACAAATTTGTCAAGTATATAAAATGCAGCAAATTCAAATTCAAATCTAAAAGTTCAATTAAACTAATATTATTATAATGGTTTGACTAGTTAACGATATTAAATTAATCACGTTTTTCGTGATTTCCGCATTTATAACAAAGTTTTTCTTAAGAGTTTCTTTTACCAAAATCGTCACGTTTATATGGTAAGTTAGAATAAATCGAATTATGGTTTTGACTCGCAACGAGAAAATAATTCTTTACATGTCAAATAAATCTCCATATATATTTTATAGGAATATAAAACAACAATAATAAAGCCCGAAATGGTAAAAATTACGTAAATAAATTTTTAACGGAGAGCTTTTCTTTTATTTAATTAAAATAAGAAGCACTAAGAGTTTAGATTATTGAGGGTTTTTTGCTTCTGGGGAGATAACTTTTCCTAAATTTTTTTGCATTTAAGTAGGCGAGGCAAATTCTTGTTTGCCCTCTTGTCGACGTCCCTGCTTATAATGATGTTAGATACGTATAAGTTTTTCTACCACCTGTATTTCCTTGGATATGAAAGTCTTCTATGTAAATTTTTATTTAAGCAATATGAAAATTCTCTCTTAACATTTACATTATTTTGTGATATCTTATTTTAAAAATTACAGTTTTATCAGAATATAGACTTTATTGGTTATCCTTTTATTAAAACAATATATCAATAGTTTATCGACTTATTACTTTAAAATTATATACAACTACATAAGGAAATTTTATACTTTTTATATAGGCCTAACCTTTTAAAATAGATCATTAATTAATTAAGTTAATTTACTAAGTTTAACTAGTCATTGCATACGAAAACATAAAAATAGAGAATTAATAAAAATTTAGCGAAAGAATATAGCATATTACTGTTGGATTATTATTATATTATTTTGATTAACGACACATGTTAATTTTGATTACGCCAATTTATCTGTTCAATCGAAATGGACAATAAAACAATTTTATTGTCAAATTTTTATTATAGATAAGCTTATTTAGCAAGCTTTTAGAAATTACTGTAGTGTATATTTCTTTGCAGTTAAGAAAAACACAAATAGAACATTTAAATTGAATTTATCAGATTATTTGTGATTGCAATCGATTGGTTATTTGCTTCTTAAATTAGCTCGTAAAACGATTCCATAAATAACGATTTATCGTGTTTTGACTATAACAGAATGTAAAACTACTTGTATAATTTCTTGCGGAATTTTTTGAATGTTTTTTTCAATAGAGTTTAAACTAGTTTTAAATAAAGAAGAAAAACCGAAAACCCAATTTAATTTTATAGATCTAAAAAAAATGTTTTATGATGTAAAAGATTTACGTCGTAAATAATGTTTGTATCTTTATTATTATCCGAACAGTTTTATGTAATGTATTGAATATCAATAAATTAAACAACCTAAATGATGACAATTATTTTTCATAAATTGATATATCGATTCAGTACTGTAAGTTTGGCTACTAGTATTACAATAACGACATGTTTGCGTAAAACAGTAAATATGCAAACTAGTGGCGTATACGGAAATCAATGTAAAGGAAGGCATCGGGAATAAGTTTATGTATAACTTACGTAGAAAAATCTAAAAAGACTTATACACATATGTCTACATATAAAAATTTATTTTAGAAATAAAAAAATAAAAACATTTTGTTTTGGAATATTTTATTAATTTATTTATTTTTATTTATTTATTTTTTGTTTTTTTTGTAACAAAGGTGCACAGGCTCCTCTTCCTCCTGAATATAAATGATGGTGTATCGTGTATCCCGAATATGTTTGCGATGTAAACAATATCCTTTTGCTTTAAAATAATGCAAAATCATTTATTAATACATTTTACTTCCATTTATACGATCGATATTCCGAAATAGAAAATTAATGATATTCTATTTTTACAGTTTAGGATATCTTACGCTATCTCTGCTATTTAAAAGATTAATTAATGAAAATAGCGGCTAGTTTAAATGATATCGCGAAGTTGCACGAATTTATTAACCTATTTATATTTAAATATAATCAAAATAACAAATTCATATTTTTAAACCAAATTATCGAATTAAATTTAAAGTTTAAAGAATTTATAGTAATTGTAAGCATTTAGGAGTTTAGAGTTGTAAGACTTTATAATAATTGTAAGTTTTATAATAAATAAATAAGAGTTAATGGAAAATAAGCGCTTTTCTAAAAAAAAAAAGTTTCTCTATTTTGTTAATGTAATCGTTTAAATAACACTATCACGTAGACCTCATTTTACATTTTAACTAGATTGGACACGCTCGGTTTACTGTTTAATTATAAACAAACCAATACTAGTACGTGTCGGTACCAGTTACGTTTCACTTGTTAAACGTATCCAATAAAAATTTAATGAAAAATAAATCAGAATACGATAGCAGTAATTTAATCAATATTAAGGCTACATAATAACTGTATAAATATCTAATCATATACAGTAAATCGCACGGTCTCACGATTCTCTTCAAGAATGATATCATGCATAGAGCAATTTATCCCTCGGGCGTGGAATTGTTGAAGTTGAAAGTCCAATAAAGTAAGGTGACTAGTTCAATTGTTAATCGAGTGTTTTCTCACTCTAAAGGGAATACTTCGAAAACCACACCCTTTTATATCGTCATGTAACTTTTAAATTAACATCGATGTTAGAGAAAATGTAAATCTGAAGAAACTTACACTAGAAATAATTAATTCACTTGTTCAGTTGTGTAAAACCAATAATTGATGATATTTTTGAATGACAGTTTATCTTTCGTCTGAAATGTATTTATATTTAATTAATTAGTTAAAAATTGAAATAAATAAATAATTTTATTTTAATCCTTAACTAAGAGTCGAAGACCTTTAATTATATATTAAAACAATCCTTAATTAAATGAATCAAACCGAAAGTTTAAATAGAAAAAAAAATAAATTTATTTGTTTCAATCTTCTTAATTTAGTTTCGTGAAACTAACTGAATTAATAGTAATTAAAGAATACCTTGATTTCATTTTACGGGTGCAGCGTTAAAAAATATTAATTAGATATTTTAATTCCATTTTAAGCCAAAATTTAGAAGATAATGATCATTAATAAAATTAGAGTGCAGTGATCAATAGGCTATTACTATTTAATAGCCCAAGTTTTCAATATTTACGATGATGCTTCCCTCAAAATTAATTAATATATAAATAAATTTATGCGATATCTATGATTACAGTTGATTATTTCATTACCTTTAATTACCATACCTTTTATATTACAAAAGTTAAGTAAAAATATATTTATTACTATCTAAGTGCAAATCAATCAGATTGAATGCATTAATTTAATGCTTTGCACAAAAAAATTCCAATGATCTTCATTTTTACACGCCACAATGATGCATCGATCGGATAATCTTTTTCGAAACTGTATTTAATTAAGATGTCGTTTATAATAAAACATTTATTTTAAACATTATTTCATTTACTTAACGATTATTAAATCTTAGTGTTTGATACTATATTTGATGAATATTTATTTTAAATGAGAAGTATTAGCGAAGTGGATCAAATTTCATCAACAGATGGCAGCACTATTTTAATATAAACTATGTCGGATGTTGGCTACTTACTTAAAAAACTTTGTGCCTCTGGGCTTAAACGGATGCATTAATGGTTCATTCCGAGAAAGGCATTTTTGAATTAAAAGTAGAATATGCCAGATGCTGTCGATCGTAAAACGATTTAATACAACTTAATGTTAATATTTTCGATTAGAAGTAAAACTTTAGTTACACTGACCGGTGTTAGTCTCACGTTAGTTGTTTCCAAGGTTGATCACGTGTTCATAGAAGCCCTAACGGTTAGAAGTGAATTGTGGGATAGGTCGTGTGTTTTGTAGTGTCAAGGGTGTGTTGCGTCTGGATTATCTATCGATTGGATATTCCCGCTAAAAGTGTGTGAGCTGTTATGACCGACGACATGCTATTCAATGGACGATTCGGAGGAAACAAGATTACGAAAGTACTTTTCGCGCAAACTCAGAAGTTATCGTGATAAGAGATGTCTTTACCTTTCCGCCAATGACCCCTGTCACGTGTCAGAAGAGGCGAGTAACAGTCACCCTCCATTTCGAGGGAACACGCTTCAATTCCCTGCTCCAGTAGGAAATTTAAGAAATCCATCAAAAAGAGAATTTCCAGGTGCCAGACAGTCGGACTATATGAGTCCTGGAAAATTTCCAGTCTTCTGTATCAATACTACGACGAGCCATTTTCCGGAAAAACTGGAACAAACTGGAGAAGTTCCGGAACAAAGTGTAATTTGGAGGGGACAATGGGATGATAAATGGAGAAGACGGACACTTGGGACAGAAACGACTTTCCTCGATTCCGACTGGACAAATGGTGATCGATACAGAATGGAAAACGCTGTCGGAAAACTAGAAAAGGCACGGAATTCCGTAAACGGCATCAGAAACGGTTGTCAGTGCGTTAACGAATATTACATAGCTTCCAGTTGTGAAAGGATAGATCGAACAATAACCGATCGAATGTGTAGACCTAACAGATTCGAAACAGGCATTTCCGCACGGCTGGATCTATGCAGGTGTACAGGTCCGAAGTCTCGACCGGACTGTACAAATCCGGAATTATGCATAGGAAGGGCATCATTGCAATTGAGAAATAATCCAATAGATGGCGCTATGTATACGGACGACAAAGTTGGAAATGTTAGTAATTTACACTTTCCGTCTAATTCTGAATTGGAAAGAAAAACGGGTAATTTTCAAAAGGTGAATGGTTTCGAAACCAAAATACGTTCGCCCGTTACAAGTTGGCGGAAACTGTCCAAGAAAGAATCATCACTTCGACAACAGGAAGAAAATAGGGTAGTTTGTCCTGTATGGGAGAATCGATGGAGAAAAAAAGCGGAAAGAAGTGACGATAAGAATAAAAGACAGGTGAGTGTACTAAGATTAAATATGGTCTTGAATTTAGGAAAAGTTTACCAACTCGTGAACTGTTTCATTTTGAGAGCGACGAAAGAAAAATCACAGGCAATGTTATTGACAAAACGCACTTTTGGCAAAAATTAATTTTTGAAGATTTATTGTATATAAATATACAAGATTAAACATATTCGTAAAAATATATTTAAGTATAAAAACAAAAAGTTTAGTAATATAAGATGAGAAGTTTGTTTATTAAATTTGTGTGCAGAATAGGAATTTAGTAACTTAATGTTGTTATTATGATTTTTTTCTTACAATGGAACGGAATACATTTATAAAAAAAGTTTTTCTTTTCTGATTTTTCGTAGTTTATAATCATTTTATACTTTAAGAAATCGTTTTTGTTTGATTTAAATTTGTTTTGAAGAGTTTGTTAAATATAATGTACAGTACTTATAGGCCTATATACATGGGACAGCCGAATGGTAATGAAGGGTCCCGGCATAAAACACCCGAAAATTCCCTGAGGTAACTCGACTCGTCCGGATTCGATTCCGGGTCTTTCAGAGTGACAAGTTGCCACTTTAGTGGGCCAGCTTGCCTCGTGTTTAAACATTTTATGCACAGAAATATATTGTGCAACATAGAAAAAAACCTCGAGTAAAGATAGAATTTTGTAAACTGGTAATATCAAATGATATTTTTAANATTCAATTGGTACTTGTAAATAGAGTGAGTCAATAGAGCTTCCCTTATCAAATACCTGCAGACATGTTCAATAACGTAAAAATTTGGCGCCTTACAACTCTGTATTGTCAAGTTCCTGTCTTCAGGATGATATATGCTTAAGTTGGAAGCTGCCAGTCATTGCATTCAAGCCAAATGTAACAAAAAAGTTTAAAAACATTGGTGAAAAAACATTCCTAACTCAGCAACCATAACATAAACGTTGGGGACATAGAGTCTGCTAAGGAAACTGTTTCTTAGACTTAGTTTCAAATCTTTTTTTCTTTTCATCCCAAACTAATAGTAATTTTTCTGCTTTATCTTTCTCTGAATTTTATTATTGCAAGTACAGAATTAGAAAACAAAACTTTATTTGTGCGTTTAAAAACATTTAATTTTTACAATTTATTCGGAAAAAAAATTAACTTTTCAAAATTAAAATGTATTTTTAACTTTAAAGTTTATTTATTTTTGTAAAATTAATTTCTCTGAATTTTATTATTGCAAGTACAGAATTAGAAAACAAAACAAGTGAATTAATTTTAAAAACATTTAATTTTTCTCGTATATTTTTAACTAATCTTTTTATTACCTTTATTTACACATCAGACCTAACTAATAAATTAATATAGATCCAAGCAGATTCCTTTCAATCCACGCAATATAAGCCATATATCAATGGTTACGGTAAATTCACAGACCACATCAGTAAATGTGTCTGTGGCACCAACATTGTCCAGGTAACGTAATATATCAGATTAGGAGACAACTTATTTCATTTCATGAAATATAATGTGCCTACTATCATTAAATTATTTTGGAAATATATTATCCTAACAATTATCTTGTCAAATTTGATTCAATTTCGAATAATTTTTCTATATTATTCTTATTAAAATACAATATTTTAATGCTCTTAAATAAAACTTTTCGTATAAATTCTATCTAATTTACTACAGATTAAAGTGCTGGAATGATTTACAAGTCGTGTCGGTTTAATATTAAAATCGTTTAAAATCAAATCCATTTTACTTTAATATTAAATTTCGTAATCCTCTTGAATCGACACATAAAAATTTATAGCCGAAAAATTTTTTAAAAATAGATTTTTCTAACAGAATTCTCTTTAAAGAAATGTAAATTTCAAGTCTAAAAACTTTTATAAAATTTAAATTACGATATATGTTTTATGATATAATATATTTTCTACAATGTTTTAATAAACTGAAGTTAATAACCTTAACTCGAATAATGTAATAACGATCTTTATACTTCGTAAACGCGAATTTTTATATATAAATAAATATGCAAAATCTCAATTTTTTATGCTCTGCAATGCGTACTTCGAAATACAGAACACAAAATCCACGTTTTTTGTTTTTCTTCATTAAATGTAACAGCATTTTGAATGACCCTTCCTTTTGTAGGAGTCCGAATTTGATTCTTTCATGGAATATTTCTTGAAATAAAATAATAAAGTAAAATAAGATTGAAACCCCATAAAAGCTAGAAATGCGATTGCGTTCAATGTTAAGATATACAGGATTTAAAGTGTAAATCAGGGATGAAGTCTATAACTTAAGTGTTGCCTTGAACTACATTAGATTATACTGTTTTTAAACGGCTGCAGTATTACAGATAAAATGTAGTAGTATGGACATTAAACAAATATTCGTGTGCAATCCAATAATACAATATTATGTTAAACTAAAATATATTATAAGAACTTAAAATAATGTAATTCATTTGTAGATGTTTTGACTGTCCTATTGATATAAAATTATTTTTAACGATGTCAGGCAGCGGTCCATTGAAACGTTCAATAAGACTGACGCTTCTCGTGTTTCATTTGTTGTGCATCCCTAGGGTAAATCAAGCACCGGTGTATTTCGAAAAACTAAATTTTTAAGCTTTTTTTATTGCATATTAATATTAAATAAACTTTGTTCCTATTGAAAGAAAGTTGTAGTCTATAGTTTTTAATTAAGTCTCCCCGATAATCGGTAAACGATTGGGAAAGAAAGATTTCTGGTGGTTGATTTTTTAGAAAGTTTTTAACTTTTACTTATTTTAAATATACAATCTTTTTTTACCTTAAACAAATATACTGACTCCATTGTTTTAATTTTTACAAATGCAATATTTGTATTTAATTATTATATATTCGATTATGTGACCGTAGGGTCGGTGTCTCTTTGACACCACGTCAGGAGACCTAAATCTGACACCACCGAGTCTCTGGGGGACTCGGAAATCGCGACGTTACGTCACGCGAGCGGTAGCGTGTGAGCGCTTGGATTCGGAGTAGAGGTGAGGAGAGAGACGAGGAAGTGACTCACTCGGACTCCATATTTTCTAACAAATAACAATTTTAATTAAATCGAACTAAATACTATACAGAGATATCGGGCATATTATCGTTCTTAATTATACTAGGTCGTTGAGAGAGAGTTTACAAACGAATCGCGGGTTGATAAATACCTTGTCGATGGACAGTTCTTTACACTAGATCCGAATCTTGTCCGTTCACTGGTGTGGAGGCACGGAGGAGTGTAGAGGCTTAATCCAGCACGAATGTTTCTCTCGGGTTTAATCCTGGCTCACGGTTTTAATCCTGGAGGACGACTTTTTGTAGAGCGGACTTTGTGAAGACGACTTCTGTAGAGGGACTTCGGATGACGACTTCTGTAGAGGGACTTCGGATGACGACTTCTGTAGAGGGACTTCGGATGACGACTGACTTCGGGGTCGTTTTTCTTTTTCTCTTTTTCATTCCTCTTGGGTTTTTTCCATGAGGTCAGGTGATGGCCTTTAACGGTCGCACTTGATCCGACTTAACAAGGAACAAACTCCGTGGGAAATAATTTTTATGGCTTTTAGCCTAACTCGATAAAACGCTCGAATTTAACCGATTAAATTTTCCAATAATTAAAATTTAAAATAACACTTTATTGTGGGTCTGTTCGTCCCTCACAATTATATAAAAGTTATGTTTAAAATCATATATGTATTGTATTGTAATTTTCAATTGTTTGGGAAACTGAAGTCTAATTTTAACAAAAATCTAATTTTTCATAGAGAGAAAGTGCTTAAAATTTTTTCATATACTAGTTTTTTTAAGTGAAGAAAAGAAATGTGAAAAAATTGAGAAATGTTCCATTATTGTATATTCAATGAGGTAAAATAAAAAAATGTAAATCATCAAAATATGTATATTATACGAAACCAAAATTTAATTACAATTGCACTTTTTTTGAAGTTTGGATACTTTCCAAAGACCATTAATTTCTATATTTCAGTGTTCTATACGAGTTAAAATCGGTAATAAATCTGTAAATCAATTTAAGTTCTCATTATTTTGTTAATTTTAAATGGAAATTTTGAAAAGTAGTTAAAGAATTGCAAAATTTCAATTAATTTTGTAAAAAGTTCGAGAAAAACATTAAATATACCAAAGCGCATTTCATAAGAATGATAAATTAACGTTCTATAATTAAAATAAATAAGTTCAAATGTTTAGATATTCATTTGAAGTTTAAATTAAATTTATTAAATATAAATTATGTGAAACTCGTTTCAAGTCCTCAAGACAATATTTTATCGGATAGAATCTAATTAATAAAATATTTAATAAAATCTAATAATAAGCAGAATTTTCCACTCTGTTTATTGTCATCTAAATTTGTTTCTGAAGGAAATAACGATTAGAAGAATGTTTTAAATTATCATAAGATATAAAAATTCTTAAAATATTTACTATGTACTGACAGTCTATACAATATTAATATTTAATTAAATTCCAAAATACAATTAATTTGAATTTTAATTTGTATTCAAGAAATGCTTTTGTTTTGTAATTATTTAATTTTATGATTTTGATCCTGAATGTTTATTGTAATTTCGTAATAATTTTGAAAGAAATAACTTTGAGTAAATATGAAATTCCATTTTTGATTCTCCATATCTTATTTTATTTTTATAGTAAAATATTATTTTAAGCATCTTTTGACAGTTTTGTAGCTTGATGAAAGAAATTCTTTTAGAAAAGTATATAAAATATCACTTCCTTTAACTTTGTTTTCTTATAGAAAGTTGACCTATCACATTTCTCTGGATATTTGCCATCTTTTTTCTTCTTTTGCTGAATTTAAATTTTGTCTTTAATGTTTTGACCTCAATTTTACCATTTTCTATTGCATTTACTTTATTCTTTTACTTGATATTTCCGAAAAACATGATAAATGTATAAAAATAAATACGGATGTTGTTTCTGCATCGCTCTT